CATCTAACCCATGTAATACAATGACGAAGGACATTGACATGAACGCCCTGGATTGGCCAGCTCCTGCAGGATTGCAGATGCTGGTTTCCATTTCTTGGTGCTCCATATGTTTGGTTCCTGGAAATCAAATAAAAGTTATAACTCACTCTATGAAAGCAAAGTTCATGCACCGTCCTGGCTATCAAGAAAGCAAAACTGTCTGCCTTGGTACTTATACTCAGGCTCATACATTTGCAATGGTATCTGCTTTGTGGGGCGACTGCAGCATTTGTCTGGAGCACAAAAATTGTCATTCTTACCAGTCAAGAGCCTGGAATACAAAATTTCCTGGTGCCACATCCACCAGAAAACGGAGGTTTTTCCCACACTGCTTCCAGCTGTGCATGCCCACATTTATGAAGCCAGTTCATGCAACGACACGAAATGTACACATGCCTTTTGTATAACACTGGATGCAGTGCAGGTAACATGCAGTTTTATGCATTTTGAGCATACGTTCATGGGGCTGAGCTCCGTTGATGTAACGGTGTCGGGCCGCCGTGTGCGATCGACGAATACGTGAGTCGCCGCCTGCTGCCAGCGCCGGGCGTGAATCGGCGTGCTATCTTCTTAAAAAATGTCCCTGCTTGGAAAGGCAAGAGGCACATTGGTGTGTCAAAATACGCACAATAAAACTACCATAGACTACCGAGAATATGAATACGATCTCACGGTATGCCGGAGAGATACCTTCAGAAAACCCAGGGGAAGCCCTCCTCCCCCTGTCAGGGCGAGCGTTAGCTTGACTATGAGGTGCAACCCTAAGCAACAGTAAAGGTGCCCCAGAAACCAAGCCAACAACGGGAATTATCTTGCTGGTGTCAGAATGAAATCTATTAAATGTGGGATTTTTTCCGAAATCTAGGGGGAGGGATAAGAGGTTGGCAGGCATTTCAATCTGAGCACTGCCTCATACTCCAAGCTGAAATGCCAACGCCGAGACTAAAACATTGGTGACACTACTGGGAGGAACTCCACATATCACGCCCTGATCCCTCGACAATTGACTTGAACCGGACATCACCGTCTCCAATTGCCGGATCTGTGGTCGGAATCTGATGTGTGGTCTGTGGCAGTTGACCAAGGAGAAGCAAGCGGGGTTTCTATTCAATGAAACGAAGGCGTCGATATATTTTTGCTCTGCGTCGTATGGACTCATTGGTCCAACACAACTTGGTCCGCCTGATCCACCTGGCATCACATCTGATTTTGCTGACGACAGCTCCATTTGGCTTCGTTTCACCCGGAATCTCAGCAATTTTATCATGATCATGCACGGTCGGTTATTTTTCACGTCTTGCCGTGGTCTGGGTTTTTTCTTCGTGAGCGTATTGATATGCGTGGGATTGATTACGGCGTTGCGTTTGTAAATCTCACTGTCATTTGTGTCGCAATATCCCCAGCGTCATTAAGTCGCCGCCCGCATGGACAGCGGAGTGCTCTGTGATCCCTCGACAATTATGTGTACATGACATGTGGTCTTCGTGCTGCTACTAAGTTTTGCGCTGATTGCCTTGTGGCACGAACCTCTGTACATTACGTCAAATAGGTGTCACAATAGGTGTTCCTTCTCCGTTATTGGTTGTACCATGAAGGGTATTGAAACGACGAAGTCGTTCAGTAACATGTGGTCCAGCGTGGTGATATGTTTGTAATCGGCCTGTGTTGATATTGCCGTGTCTTCAATATTGTGCTTTGCCCCAGGGTGCGATATTGCGTATGACTAGTCACACTCAGGTCAGTGCAAAGTTAATAGGCCAGCATGAAAGAGATGCATCGTCAATTACCAATGTCTTTTTCAGTGCGTCTCGTCAACCTGGTGAGGAGTCCGTGCTGCGAGCGTTTGTAAGGGTATTGGTTAGATATTAGATAGTATTATACCATCGGCATTTGCTTGGGCAGCTGGGATAGACGTTGCTTTGCGGAAATGCCTAAACTTCGATCGAGTTATTCATCGCACAAGAGGATGAACGCCCTCAAATGCTACGTGTGTAACGTTAAGAAGAGACGATATGTGGCTGGCTATCTCATTGAAAAAGCTGCCCATGACATGATATGTGCATCAATTTCTCCATGCCCAACGTTTCCCCAACAGAGCACATCTTTTCAAGGGGTTGATGAAAGTGGCACAGTTGCCACTGGTGAAAATACACCAGTAACATCGCCAAGTGCCATCTATGCAACGGTTGATTCGTCTGTCATTGAAGTAGACGTCTCATGTACCGGTTCTGGTAACACAGGTGATGTTCTTTCACAACCTCCTGTGCCAGCCGCGCGTCAGGCAGGGGACGGCATTCATTCGTCGGTTGTGAGAGGAGAATGAACAGAAATTGCTAGCCATTTCACTGATTTCAGCCCCACGATACTTGATACACCAAGCGCTAACGTACCAGACAACAGTATTGATGACATCGCAGCTGGCAGGGCATGGCAAAGACGCTTTCCTCTCAGGGCATGGCAAAGACGCTTTCCCCCAAGATGTTATGCAAGAATTTATGAAGGCTGTTGAGACATTGAATACTCTGGCGCAGATAACCCTACCACTTTTGCAATCGGAAATGGAAAGCATATGTTCTTCTGCCGTATGATATTTCTACCTTACCTTTATTTGCTTGCATACAATGCTTACATACTTCATGCGTGCGTACTTTTGTCTTAAACCCACGAAGTGAGGTGTGGTGGCGCCACCTGTACCCATCACAACCTTCGCGATATAAAAGGGCGGCAACGGTGCTTGGCCGCCGCAGGACCTGGCGCAGCGTAGAACGTGGACAGGAGAAAGCTAATACACGAAGGTGAGGCACTGAAGTCAATTTTGAAGTCGCTTTCTTATGTCGCAACACCCAACATGATTGGTTACCATGACACCCCCTGGGACATACATGGACATGGACATACCATGACGCCGATTCTTGCGCGCATGGAAAGATGGCCCGGATTCAACCCGCACCGCCTACGCGCAGGAGGGCGAGGCAATGCCGGCGTAACAGAAGTGCTCGAATTTTGCAGGCTTTGCTACACAGCTCAAACCTCTGTGGCTGCGGCGGATGAGGGTACTGAGCATATGCAATGTATGTTTGATGGCCGAAGAGTGCGTAAAGAGAGACTTACGTCTCATTTGAGAATGAAACTATCCATATAAGGCGGCTGTATATGGCCTCTTTATACCACAATGCATCCACCGTAATCGGAAAGCAATGGATTGTATCAAAACCTTTGAAAATTAAAGTAGTTACGATCTCGCACCGGCGACGATGTCCGCAGCACAATACATCGTCAGGCTATGGCGCTGATTGGTCGTGGGTAGACGAGTCAGCTGACCGCTCGACCAATCAGTTCAGCATGGGACAAAATTCCCTGCTGCGTTAGTAAGGAAAAGGTTAAGTTAGGCAGGTTGTGAGATGCGTTTGCGAGGAACATTGTTCGACTAGATAAGACTGAAAAGACCTAGCTCATCGGAAAAGCGATTATGCAGATATAGAGTGTTGATACTTTGGCACCATGCCTTTATCGAAACAACAGCAGACATGCCATTGTCTCCGAGTTATCATATAGCTCTTGTTTCGATAATTTTCCGAGGGAGAAAGCTATTACTTATGTCTTATTTAAGTTGGCCAAGGTGGGATCCCGGAAAATTGTCGGCTTGATTACGTTTGTGACGTCATTGGGTGTTCATATTCAGTTAAACAGCAAGGAATATGTATCAATCAGCAGAGATTGTGTATTATGTTCAGCAGAGTATGTGTTACATTTGGCATTTTATGCCTTACATTCAGCAGAACATGTATTACATTCAGCAGCATTTTATATACATGGTGTCGTAGTTGTTCATGCATATCACTTTAGTGTAATTTATATAAAAGATCATCTTTCAGACAGCTAGAAACTTTCAGAATTGTGAGCTGATTTGCAATTCTTGTGGTTTTGAATATGCCTAGTCAGTCCTTCTGTGCTTGGCATCTGCTGTCACTCCTACCACACAATGGTCCCAAAATGTCAGCTGTGGACTTAATGTAAATTTGCTAGGAACATGTTTTGTTCTCTCTGCAAGCCGTGATCATGAAATTTCTGTTCTCCCTCCCCAAGAGCTGAAAGCAAATTTCAGACACTGTTCCAATGGCATCCCTTTTCAGGCGGGATTTAGAACTTATGGCGGACAATTGAGCGTGAAAATAATCCATCAAAACTAATACCCTAGTCGCGAATCTTGTTCTATACACGCTCAGTGCAGAGCAATGGGAGTTTATTGGCTGGGCAGGCTTTCAGGCACGATCCCACACACGTTGCCTGGCGCGTCGCAATCAACTCGTGAGCTGGCTATATTTTCAAACGGGGCAGGGGAACATGTTGAAACACTGCCGTAATTCGTTACCCTACAATACCACAGTGATCGTTTGATGTCTATCACGTATAGAACCAACTTTTCGCACGGAATTCTGCACTTTTGCACTTTCTTGCCTCCAACGCTGTCAATACGCGTACGTTTGACACGTGCAACCATCTGAAAGATTTTTGGACGGTGTATAAGCCCGGTGCATAACCGCCCTCCGTTTTGGAGGGTGTATAAGCCCGGTGCGTAACCGCCCTACGTTTTGTGGGGTGTATACGCACTGCCTTACGGCATACATCGTTAGGTGATCCATACATTTCATACCGGTTTTCTTTCGCCACTTTGTTAGTTTGCTTATGATAATGTGTTTTTCTCACAAGGGGGCTTTTAACGTTTTTTGGGGGGGCAGTGGGCTGAGAGAAGATACTCGATCATCCCCAGCTGGGTAGGGAGGGGCCTGGCGGGGGGCTGGGCAGCATTTTAATGTTGGGCATTATTTTCATTTCTTTTAGCAGGACGTCATTTCAACGGACAAACTGTGCGCATGTTTGTCAAAACTGCCGCAGCTCCCATCGCTGCGCCCGGAGCGCTACGCTTCAGCATAGGAAGCTATGCACTCTAACCCAGTGCAGGGGTGCGGAGGACCGCGTGATTGTGCACGACCGTCCATTGGTCTTCTAATGAAGTGCCGTCATTCCATCAGCGCCTAGCTGGTGTGAGTGTGAATTCGAAGCTCTCTGAGCAAATTAAAGTTTGCTTTAATTTCATAGCTGTCATTGTAACACAAAAAGGTGCTTACCGACTTGACTTGTCAGAGAAACGCGAAGACGTGTTAGATTACCTTGCATTGTATATGATTCATCGTATTTAAGGTGGAACATATTGTAAATAATCATAAAATAGGTAGATGCATGCTCCTACCCTCAAATTTTAGCAACCGCGATTGCGAGTTCCTGGGCGCCGTACACACCACCACCTGGGCTCCCCAGCGCCGCTTCTGCATTATTGTTGCATGGTTACAATATTTCCACTTATCAAGAACCATAAAAAATTATGGGGTCAAGGTAACAATGATAGTGCAATGAAATGTTTCTCATGGTTTGTAGGTATGTTTATTGAACAGACAGGCCGGAATAGTCCAGAACGTAGCTTAAACTAGCATAACCTAACCTAACCTAACCTAACCTAATTTCCCCACCCTATCCCCTTCAACCCAGTGTCCCACTAGCACCCATGTTCCATGCCATATATATATATATATATATATATATATATATATATATATATATATATATATATGTACTATATTGAGAAGTTTTGTTTAGCCCTCATATTTTCATTTTGCTTTTCATTCCCCACCCAAAGACGTCATATTTGCCCACCATGTCAACCAATCTACAAACGGTATGGAAGACTGCTTGGATGCTCGAGAAACATAGGCACCTGGTTCTTCACGCCCAGTAATGTTGTGATCATGCATAGGCGCAGGGGTCATGCGAGGGGGGCATGATTGCTTTGTGTTTATGTTTCTGGGATGTTTGTTATCATAGTTATTTAAGTTCCAAGGTAAGAGTTTAGATGACCTGTCTCACGATTAATCACAATATGTTAATATGTTCTGCCTTTAAAATGACGATTGATGTACAATGTTCTTTTTTAACCTGAGGTGGCAGTGTATACCATGACCTACCTTTGTGTGGTGTGGCTGTTAAGGTAGCCAGTGGGGTTGCTTCCATTAACATTCAAGAGTGGGAGATTCTAGACAGGTAAATTGATCAAACTAGAGGACCATTCACAAAAAATTGATTGTCCACAAAATGACTATCACCCTTGAAAAGTTGTAGTTTAGCTAATCCCATCTCCATACAGCTGCAGGAAGCACCTGTGTCTGCAAGGTGTACCTGCAATGTTGCACTTGCCTTCATGTTGGGTTTTGATAATCTAAGCCAGGTTTTGCTGATTCACTTAGATGGCAGTAAATGCCAGACCCCAGTACTAACTGATGTGGTGTTGTATGTGACTATGGGACCCTGGTGCATTGATGCATTATCTACAGACTAGGGATATCAGTTCAGTTGCTCAAAAATAAGTTGTGTTACTGCCCTGTTTTTCTGGTTTTTATTTGTTTAACTGGGTTGCTTACTGAGTTGTTTTTTGTTGATGCTGACAAAACTGGCAAAACCCCAGAAAAGTGAGATCTGTATGTCTAGCTGGGTTTAGCAAAATGCTAGTAATTAGTAGCATGCTAGCAATTAGTAGAATTACTGATATAATGGCAGTGTCATCACTCTGAGGCATGAGACCTAAAGCCATGCCTTGCATTATGTATCAGTGCCTCAATTCCACAACTTAGAATAAGGCATAAATGCTAATGCTAATAGGCATAAATTAATTCAGCTGATTCTTAATTCTGATTCTGCATTTTGCAGATCTTTTTATCTCATTTTAAGTGTCCAGTCTATTGCCTGATCTTAGGTAACAACATAGCTATGTTTTGATTTGCTAATAATGCATGGATGCTTGTTTCACATTTGTTTGCCCAGTTAACACCAGTCCTGTATGCTGTGAAGATATCTGATTAACATACTTTTATTTCTGTATTTTGTCACTGTAGCACATTATTGCTCAGATGTACCACACTGATTTTTGACTACATCAGTACTAAAAGCTTCCTTCCAGCACCTCATGTTGTATTGGTTTCTGCCTGCTTCTGTCATGGCCTCATTGTCTCAGTTTGCTTTGACCAGTTAAGACAGCCAGCTGGCTTGCACTGTTCTAGCTAACTGCTACCAGGCCAGAGTCATGGTCTCTGCATCAGCCATAGCCATACCTGGGAATATAAAGAGGAAGGAGGGGAAGCCATTTGCTTAATGTGAACATTAAAATGTAGAACCAATATAAGCATGTCATTTATACCATGTTGGACCTGTTAGTTAGGGACCCACCCACTCCCCTGCCCTCCTCAATATGTGACAGTTACTGCAAACAATGAATGCAGCCTCAGCCAAGTCCTCAGGGTCCTCAGCCAAGTCCTCCGAACGATGCGGCTACGCCGCGCCGTTCGGAAACCATTCTCGAAAAACCTTCGGGGGTCCATTTGCCCCCCCACCGGAGTGCGTGTTAGAGCACAGTGAATGAAAGCCATTGCAATCTGCTTTTTCAGGTAGTACTGAACTGCATTGTTCAAGACAATCATGGCAAAGGAAGATAAGATATCATCAATTTTCACAGAACATGAGCATTTGTATAGTGTTTTATCAGCTGAAATCACAGACAAGATCAACATCATACAGGGACATTCCATCACAGGAGGTTTGTGGTCAATTTCCCATCTAAGTAATAGATCTCAAGATGGATACAACAGAGCTGACATGGCATAGCCATTGCTGCCGAAATACTTGTATTAAGTGATTTATTGTAGGCACCGCACTAAATAAATGCTCCTTGCTCACAGCTGCTGTGCCATTGACAATGTGCATTGTGCTCACTTGCTTGATGATATCTTTTTGAACCACTGTTGGTTTTAACCATTGTACACAACATTATTCCTCGGTGTATTTGAACACGTCCTGAAGGGTGGGACGTTACGGCTGTGGCCGTGCGCCCGGCGCTGACCGTGAGCTCCCCGGCAGACGCGGTCGCAGGCCCGTGTGCCGAGGCCGAACGGCTGATGGCGGAGGCGCACGAACTGGTGAGTGACGTCACTGGGGCCGGCCGACGGCCCACGGAAGGCTCGATGGTTTGGGTGGTTTGTAAGCAAACCACGGATGGTTTGCTGTGTGAGACATCTGTAGGCTCGCTCTCCGCTGGGTCGCCTACACGGAGCGGCTATTTTCGACGTCTGCTTCGCCGCTGCGTGCTGTTATCACGATGTGGCGTGCCACGGCAACGGCGACGGGGCCTGCACCACGTGTCCCGCGCAGCGAGCGGACGGCAGCCATTTGTCGGCCGTCCGCGACGCTCCAGTGGTTGGATAGCGTTGCAGACTTCCGGCCAGTTGCAGGAGTGGGCTTGCTTTAAGTGGCAGCTGCGTGTAATACGCCCACCCATCTGGGCCGCTTTCCTATCACCAAACGCCGCCCACAAGTTGCAGTCTATGACGTCAGGGTAAGTGCGTCACAACAGCTCCTACAACGTGGACGATGTTCGCTTGCGTATGACGTGGGCACTTGCGACGTTATAGGCAGAAACTCAGGTAGATACTTTGTCAATGGGAAATGCGACCAAGGCGCTTCGCACGAGCAGCAGCCTGTTAACTCTTGGCAAGTTATACGGCGCCTCATTCAAACTGGGCTGCTGGCAGACGGTAAACAACCAGTTACAAAATAAGCCGCGTGGAACTCGCACCTACCTGTCACCATCCGCGAAAAGCTTCTGTCCGCGAAAATCACGACCAGAATGGTTCGTTTTCCCGGCTATTTCAAAGCGCCTAAATCGTTCTTAGCCAGTGGGCGGCGGGCGGGGAGGGAGGGGGGAGGGGACGGCGACAGGCTCCTTCCGTGTGGCGAGCAGAAGCCAGCCGTAAAACGGAGACGGGCCAGTGGTCGGCCGGTCTGACCCTACGCCCCCTGCCGGCGGGGGTCACGTGATCAGACGGGTCAGTGGCCGACCAGTCTAACCCCGCGCCACCCCGGGCGCCCCCTGCCGGCGGGGTCACGTGATCAGACGGGTCGGTGGCCAGTTTCAGCCCGCGCCACCCCGGGCGCCCCCTGCCGGCGGGGTCACGTGATCAGACGGGTCGGCGGCCAGTTTCACCCCGCGCCACCGCGGGCGCCCCCTGCCGGCGGGGTCACGTGATCAGACGGGTCGGTGGCCAGTTTCACCCCGCGCCACCCCGGGCGCCCCCTGCCGGCGGAGTCACGTGACCAGTGGGCCGCGGCCGGGCTCGCTGACTGGCGCTGCAAGACTCTGGGGCGCGCCGCCGTGCTGGGAGGACGCGCGCTGGCGGCGGCGCCGGTCAAGGTCTGTGCTGCCCAGCGGTGATGTAGCCGCTGATCCGCGGCACTCCGGAGGAATTCGGATAGCTTGCGGATTTAAGTTGGGACAAACTCGGGTACGTCTTGGTTCGCCCGGCCATTCCAGGTCATTGGGTGACCTTTGAGCGGTTTGACTGCCCAGGTGGCAATGAATCTGAGCACTAATATTCCATCATCCACTGCGCTTTAAAAAATAGTTTTATCTTCCATTTGTACGTGTACATCGATCCGGCTGTTATGGGTATTAATTCTCATCGCCCCCGGCGAAGCAGCGCAGCGCCTTCAAAGCATATTAACGGGGTCATTAGTCGTCGATAGGGTTGTACCGTCCCGCGTGCTCAGCCAAAGGCGTGACACCTGGGCCGCGTTCCCCATCGGCAAAATACCTGCCTGTGTTGCTGACTATGACTTCGCAAGTGCCTATGTCATAGGCAAGGCGACTATCCTCCAAGCCGTAGGAACTGTCGTGACGCGCGTACCTATGTCATAGGCTGCAAGTTGTGGGCGGCGTTTGGCAGTGGGAACCGCGGTCCTTTCCATAACCCACTGACCGGATCTGTGTCGTGTTCGGCTGAGGCAGATGGCGCTAGAAACGCTATTTAAGTCTAAGTTTAAGCGCTGTTCAAGTTGTGTTCAAGTTGTCCATGCCCCCATGCCCCCCCCCCCCCCCCCCCCCTGGTATCCAGCTGTAGGCTTGACACCGACAGGCGCCCTCTAGCCGTGTCTGTGTCGGGCTCAGCTACGCATGCGCGCAGATGGAGCAGATGGAGCTGGAGGCGCGTGAGCAGCCAGACGAGCTGCGCCAGGCGCTGGCCAACCGCGTGCGCAGCTACAGCGCCGAGCTGCGCCGGCTCAACAAGGAGTACCAGAACATCAAGCACAGAGGTGAGCCAGAGGTCAGAACCTAACCTAACCTAACTGGGCGCGGCGCCAGGCCCGGGGCTACGTCGGGCTAGGAGCCGTCTGGGTGGTACAGCCCGCGGGGCGTGGCGTTTGGTAGTGTAGCCCACGTCCACGTCATGTTGCGTGACGTCACGGCATGCCAGAGTGTTTTGTGCCGAATGATTGGTGATGATTGTTAGGGATGCGTGTCTTGGGAGACATGACTGCTCCTGCGTTTCTCTCCACGTTAGTCTTTCTCTTTATCTTGACTCCGTTATTCCCACTCACCGATTTCGTGCCCACCGTTTCGCCAAGTAAGTATTCGAGTTAACGTGCGCATTCATGTGCATAAGCGTGCATTTCCTTCTCTTTGAACGGTGAGCTGCACAACTCCTGTCCCTCACTGATGAAGTGCCGGTCCGGTTTGGTCGGTGGGCAGTGGGCCGTGGGCTGCGGGCTGCTCTATCTGCCTGCACCCCATACAAACACCTCACGGCGGTATCTCGAGCGAGAGGTAACAGCGGCGTCCGATGTGGCGTCGCGTGTCCGGCGGCGACTGGTCGGAGGTCGTGACCAGTGCGTTCTGCCGCGGGCGTGCTGTGGACGCGGGATCCCCGGCTGTCACCAGTGGCCTCTGCCTGAGCGCCGGCCGACGGTCCGGGCTCGCCGGCCGGTGACACCCCCTCCGTCTGTCGCAGTGTGCCGGGCCGAGGTGCTGGAGGGCGGTGCACGCTCAGCCACCGCCGCCGAGCGTCTGATGGACGACACAGAGCTGATGGAGCGCACCGGCGGCCGACTGGACGAGGGGTCAGTGGTGCTGCGTCTGGTGCTGCCTCTGGTGCTGCCTCTGGTGCTGCCTCTGGTGCTGCCCCAGGTGCTGCCTCTGGTGCTGCCCTTGGTGCTGTCTGGTGCCGTCTCTGGTGCCGTCTCTGGTGCTGCCTCTGATGCTGCCTCTGGTGCTGTCTCTGGTATCACCCTCGGGTGTTGTCTCTGGTGCTGTCTCTGGTGCTGTCTCTGGTGCTGCCTCTGGTGCCGTCTCTGGTGCCGCCTCTGGTGCCGCCTCTGGTGCCGCCTCTGGTGCCACCTGTGGTGCCATCTCTGGTGCTGCATCTGGTGCTGCATCTGGTGCTGTCTCTGGTGCTGTCACTGGTGCTGTCTCCGGTGTCGCCTCCGGTGCCACCCTCTGGTGCCGCCTCTGGTGCCGTCTCTGGTGCCGCCTCTGATGCCGTCTCTGGTGCCGTCTTTGGTGCTGCATCTGGTGCTGTCTCTGGTGCCGTCTCTGGTGCCGTCTCTGGTGCCGGCTCTGGTGCCGGCTCTGATGCCGGCTCTGATGCCGTCTCTGGTGCCGTCTTTGGTACTGCATCTGGTGCTGTCCCTGGTGCTGTCCCTGGTGCTGTCTCCGGTGCCGCCCCTGGTGCCACCCTCTGGCGCCACCCTCTGGCGCCACCCTCTGGTGCCGTCTCTGGTGCCGTCTCTGGTGCCGCCTCTGGTGCCGTCTTTGGTGCTGCATCTGGTGCTGTCTCTGGTGCCGCCTCTGGTGTCGTCTCTGGTGCCGTCTCTGGTGCTGTCCCTGGTGCTGTTTCTGGTGCCGTCTCTGGTGCTGCCTCTGATGCTGCCTCTGGTGCTGTCTCTGGTATCACCCTCGGGTGTTGTCTGTGGTGCTGTCTCAGGTGCTGTCTCAGGTGCTGTCTCTGGTGCTGCCTCTGGTGCCGTCTCTGGTGCCGTCTCTGGTGCCGTCTTTGGTGCCGCCTCTGGTGCCACCTCTGGTGCCATCTCTGGTGCCATCTCTGGTGCTGTCTCTGGTGCTGTCTCTGGTGCTGTCTCCGGTGTCGCCTCCGGTGCCACCCTCTGGTGCCGCCTCTGGTGCCGTCTCTGGTGCCGCCTCTGATGCCGTCTCTGGTGCCGTCTTTGGTGCTGCATCTGGTGCTGTCTCTGGTGCCGCCTGTGGTGCCGTCTCTGGTGCCATCTCTGGTGCCGGCTCTGGTGCCGGCTCTGGTGCCGGCTCTGGTGCCGTCTCTGGTGCCGTCTTTGGTGCCGTCTTTGGTGTTGCATCTGGTGCTGTCCCTGGTGTTGTCCCTGGTGCTGTCTCCGGTGCTGTCTCCGGTGCCACCCTCTGGCGCCACCCTCTGGCGTCACCCTCTGGCGTCACCCTCTGGCGCCACCCTCTGGTGCCGTCTCTGGTGCCGCCTCTGATGCCGTCTCTGGTGCCGTCTTTGGTGCTGCATCTGGTGCTGTCTCTGGTGCCGCCTCTGGTGTCGTCTCTGGTGCCGTCTCTGGTGCTGTCCCTGGTGCTGTCTCTGGTGCTGCCTCTGGTGCTGCCTCTGGTGCTGCCTCTGGTGCTGCCTCTGGTGCCACCCTCTGGTGGCGCCTCTGGTACCGGCTCTGGTGTTGCCTCTGGTACCAGCTCTGGTGTTGCCTCTGGTGCCGCCTCTGGTGTTGCCTCTGGTGCCGCCTCTGGTGTTGCCTCTGGTACCGGCTCTGGTGTTGCCTCTGGTGCCGCCTCTGGTACCCGCCTCTGGTACCGGCCCCGTGTTGCCTCTGGTGCCGCCTCTGGTGTTGCCTCTGGTGTGCCTCTGGTACCGGCTCTGGTGTTGCCTCTGGTGCCGCCTCTGGTGTCAGCTCTGGTGTTGCCTCTGGTGCCGCCTCTGGTGTTGCCTCTGGTACCAGCCCTGGTGTTGCCTCTAGTGCCGCCTCTGGTGTTGCCTCTGGTGTTGCCTCTGGTGTTGCCTCTGGTGCCAGCTCTGGTGTTGCCTCTGGTGCCGCCTCTGGTGCCGGCTCTGGTGTTGCCTCTGGTGCCGCCTCTGGTACCGGCCCTGGTGTTGCCTCTGGTGCCGCCTCTGGTGTTGCCTCTGGTGTTGCCTCTGGTGCCGCCTCTGGTGTTGCCTCTGGTGTTGCCTCTGGTGTTGCCTCTGGTGTTGCGTCTGGTGTTGCCTCTGGTGCCGCCTCTGGTGTTGCCTCTGGTACCGGCTTTGGTGTTGCCTCTGGTACCGGCCCCGGTGTTGCCTCTGGTGCTGCCTCTGGTGTTGCCTCTGGTGTTGCCTCTGGTACCAGCTCTGGTGTTGCCTCTGGTGCCGCCTCTGGTGCCGGCTCTGGTGTTGCCTCTGGTGCCGCCTCTGGTGTTGCCTCTGGTACCGGCCCTGGTGTTGCCTCTGGTGCCGCCTCTGGTGTTGCCTCTGGTGTTGCCTGTGGTACCGGCTCTGGTGTTGCCTCTGGTGCCGCCTCTGGTGTTGCCTCTGGTACCGGCTCTGGTGTTGCCTCTGGTGCCGCCTCTGGTACCGGGCCCTGGTGTTGCCTCTGGTGCCGCCTCTGGTGTTGCCTCTGGTGCCTGCCTCTGGTGCCGCCTCTGGTATTGCCCCGGGGTTGCCTCTGGTGTTGCCTCTGGTACCGGCTCTGGTGTTGCCTCTGGTGCTGCCTCTGGTGCCGCCTCTGGTGTTGCCTCTGGTGCTGCCTCTGGTGCCGTCTCTGGTGCCGCCTCTGGTGCCGCCTCTGGTGCCACCTCTGGTGCCATCTCTGGTGTTGCCTCTGGTACCGGCTCAGGTGCCGCCTCTGGTACCGGCTCTGGTGTTGCCTCTGGTGCCGGCCCTGGTGTTGCCTCTGGTGTCACCTCTGGTGCTGTCTCTGGTGCCGGCCCTGGTGTTGCCTCGATTCGCCTGAGAACTTCCAGCGGGCGTGGGCAGCAGATGGGCGACTCAGTGGGGTCACCGGGCCGGACGGCCGCCGTCGGCTAGAGACGGCTATATGCGTAAACCGGTGCGACGGCGGACGCCTGGCTCGTCTCGGCTTGCGGACCAGAAGGATGGGCGGTGGGCGGTCACTGACCATTTTTGGTCAGTGCTTGGAGAGACGCTCAGATTTAGACGTTCCGCTTTTCCGCCAATCCACTCGTCACACTATGTACTGCTTCATGTCCAAATCGAAAATACACAACAACAAACTTCACCTTCGCCGTTTGACTATCGCCGGCACCTGACACGCCCACCGGTCCCCGGTGGCCTGACCTGACCTCGGACCAGCCGCCGGGCCGCGGCCTTGGCCGTCCGACATCGTCCCCGGCGTCGCCTCCCGACCTCTGTGGTGGGAGGTGGTCTGGCCTGGGGTGGCCCTGGCTGCCGACGCCCGCGCCGAGCAGCTGTCGTCTCCCGCCCTCTGTGGTGGGAGGTGGTCCGGCCTGAGGTGGCCCTGGCTGCCGACGCCCTCGCCTATGACGCTGTCGTCTCCCACCCTCTGTGGTGGGAGGTGGTCTAGCCTGGGTGGGCCTGGCTGCCGACGCCCTCGCCTATGACGCTGTCGTCTCCCGCCCTCTGTGGTGGGAGGTGGTCTGGCTTGAGGTGGCCCTGGCTGCCGACGCTCGCGCCGGTGGCGCTGTCGTCGTCCACAGCCGGCGCTGTGAACACACGGTGGCGTCAGCGGCGCTCCGCGCTCGTGGCCGCGCCTGCTATGCCCGTCTGTCCTTTGTGGCCGCTGGGGTGAGGTTCGGAGGAGTCTGGCCCATCTCTCGGGCAGCTGTGTCTCCTGCTGTCTGCCGGGACCGACGCGCACCTGGCTCTGCGCCCAGCTGGCACCACGCTCAGGTCGGCGTTCTGCCAACGGCTGACGTCCTGCGCCCATCTGACGCTCTGCTCAGGTCGGCGTCCTGCCAACGGCTGGCGTCCTGCGCCCAGCTGACGCTCTGCTCGGGTCTGCGTCCTGCCAACGGCTGGCGTCCTGCGCCCAGCTGACGCTCTGCTCAGGTCGGCGTCCTGCCAACGGCTGGCGTCCTGCGCCCAACTGACGCCCCGCTCAGGTCGGCGTCCTGCCAACGGCTGACGTCACGTCCGTGACGCAGCCGGTGGCCGCTTCCGGCCGCGGTGCCGCCGGCCGTGGTCCAGGTGTGACCTCATGGAGCGCCGCTGGTGACGTCATCACCCGGGCTGAGCGGTTGGCGAGCGCGGCGGAGGCTCTCCAGTGACTGCCGCAGTGGCTGCGGCTCCGGTTGTGATGGTCACTCATGGGGTATTTACGCGCACGGAGCGAATGTCGCGTGGCCAGTTCAGGTGTCCTTGTGGAGGCTGTGGTCGTGACTCCGTGGGTGTTTGGTCTGTGGTAGTGACCACTATGGGCAGTGTGCGTGCCTTTCTTCCGGCCAGGAATGACCGTGTCTGTTCCCCTGTTGTGACGTTTCAGTGTCCTTATTGATTCTCGAGAAGTGATCGTCGCAGAGACGGTGTTGGTGCTCCTCTAGTGGCGGCTTGACAGTGGCGGCGTCGGCGCTCGCCGTAACGGGCCCCGTTGCCGCAGGTATCGCATGTGTCTGGAGTCCGAGGCGATCGGCGCCGAGGTGCTGGGGGACCTGAGCAGCCAGCGCGAGACTCTCCTCCGCACCCGCTCCCGGGTAAGCGGTCTGGCGGCTGGGCCAGCTGCCTGTCGGCCATGTGGTCCGCCGTGCTCGGTTCTGTGTTTGCTTCTTCTCAATCGTTAACGTTGCTTTCACGTTCACGTTCATGTTCATGTTCATGTTCATGTTCATGTTACATTACGTTCCTTCTCAGCCCTGTTTCGGCCCCGTTTCAGGTTCGTTCCAGTCCGTTGTCGCCCCGTTTCAGCCCCGTTTCAGGGGCTGTTCTCCGTCTCTTCTCCGCCTCGTCTCCGCCTCGTCTCAGCCTCGTCTCAGCCCCGCCTCCGCCCCGCCTCCTCCTCGCCTCCTCCTCGCCTTCGCCTCGTCTCCGCCTGGTTTCCGCCTCGTCTCAGCCTCGTCTCGGCCTCGTCTCAGCCCCGTCTCCGCCCCGCCTCCGCCCCGCTTCCGCCTCATCTCCGCCACACCCCCGCCTCGCCTCCGCCCCGTCTCCGCCTCGTCTCAGCCCCGCCCTCGCCTGTGTTCACAGTTGCGCGACACGGACAGCGAGCTGGGCCGCTCCAGCCGCCTTCTGACGGGCATGATGCACCGGGCTATGCAGAACCGCGTCCTGCTCCTGCTCGTCGCCGCCGTCCTGCTGGCTGCCGTCGGGTACGCCGTCTACGCCCTGGCAGTGCGCTCGTCGTGAGGCGGCCGGCGGTGCGGCGCCCCTGGGACGGCCCTGCTGAGAAGGCGAGCCCGTGCCGCACGGCCGTCTCCGAGAGAGCGTGCCGCCACGGCCGTCTCCGAGGGAGCGTGCCGCCACGGCCGTCTCCGAGGGAGCGTGCCGCCACGGCCGTCTCCGAGGGAGCGTGCCGCCACGGCCATCTCCGAGAGAGCGTGCCGCCACGGCCATACTCCGATAGAGGTGCGCCACGTGCCGTCTCCGAGGGCCCGTGCCGCCAAGGCCATCATCCGATAAGCGTCCGCCACGGCCGTCCATCCAGAGAGCGTGCCGCACGGCCATCTCCGAGAGAGCGTGCCGCCACGGCCGTCTCCGAGAGAGCGTGCCGCCACGGCCGTCTCCGAGAGAGCGTGCCGCCACGGCCGTCTCCGAGAGCGTGCCGCCACGGCCGTCTCCGAGAGCGTGCCGCCACGGCCGTCCCCGAGGAAGCGTGCCGCCCGGCCGTCTCCGAGAGCGCGTGCCGCCACGGCCCGGTCTTCGGAGGGAGCGTTCCGCCACGGCGCCCGTTCCGAGAAGAGCGTGCCGCCACGGCCGTCCCCGAGGAAGCGCGCCGCCTTGATAAAAGGAGCCTCGGCGGCTGTGGATGCCGCCGCCGGAGACGGCGCTGGGCTGCTGCTGGTCGGCGGGCTGCAGCCGGCTCGGCACGGTGGCTACCGCACGGTGTCCGGCTGCCCGTGACTGCGTAGAAGGGCGCCTCTGGGGTGCACCTGAGCGCGCCGGAGGCTCAGGCAGGAGGGAGGGAGGGAGGCAGCGCACCGGTGGCATGGCGCCGTCCGCCGGGTGCGCTCTGGTGACGTGACGCCGTCCGCCGGGTGCGCTCTGGTGACGTGGCGCCGTCCGCCGGGTGCGCCCTGGTGGCGTGGCGCCGTCCGCCGGGCGGCAGTGCGGGTGTGGTCGGCCGCCTCGGCGCAGCGGTGGCGTGACGCCGCCCGCCGGGCGGCAGTGCGGGTGTGCTCGGCCGCCTCGGCGCACCGGAGGCTCAGGCAGGAGGGAGGGAGGGAGGCGGCGCAACGGTGGCGTGACGCCGTCCGCCGGGCGGCAGCGCGGGTGTGGTTGGCCGCCTCGGCGCACCGGAGGTCTGGCGCCGGCGATCGGGGCTGGTGCAGCCCGCGATGGTGGCGGGCGCGGATGTCGGCCTGCCGTGAGGAGCTGTGTGAAGAGCAAGGCCAGGCCCCGCCCACGACTGTCGGCGGGAGATTGGAACATACCCCAACGACAGTCGGACCCGTCGCCCTCAATCGCCGAGGCTCGCCTATTGCACTCTATCGCGGAGGCTCCCTCTCGACGGCATGTGACCAGATGGAGAGCGGTGGTCACGGCTAGCCACGCCTCATGTCGTCGTCTCGGGACGGATTTGCCGACGCTCGTGGCGGGTGGGCTCGCTGCTGGGGTGACGGCTAACCGGCAGGGTCGGCCCCGGCCCTGTCGCGGGGGCGTCGCAGCAGTGACCCCCTGCACACGCTGCGACACCGGCCTATGGGCTGTGGATGTTTTACAGGGGTTCCTTGTGCTGAAGCGGCCTGCGGGCGCTCGCGGCTGGGCGTCTGCGGGGGTTCAGGTCATCACGGGCTGGCGCCTGGGTGAGTTCAGGTCGTCACGGGTTGGCGCCTGGGTGGGTTCAGGTCGTCACGGGTTGGCGCCTGGGTGGGTTCGGTGCAATCTCCGCGCGCGTCATTGTGCTCCAGTGTGCTCCAGCGTGCCCCCTTGTGCGGGCACGCCATGATGGCCGGTGGAGTGTCTCTCGGAGCGGTGCTACTCTGGTTGGAGCGCCCGCGACGTTTCATTGGTCGAGAGTTGAACACGCACGTGTGATCACGAAGGCGCACGGTCGATAATCTCGACCCCTCGCGTCCCGTCTCGCCTCGGGTCAGTGACCTCGGGAGGCGGCGCGCGGAGCTCTAAATCGGGGATATTTGATCGTGTTAATTCACGTATACCTCTGGGCCATCAATGTCTGCTTTAAGTTGGCGCCAGAATCCGAAGCGGCTCATTATTTCGTGATGCGCGTTGTCCGTGGTCGTAGTATCTAAGCCTGAGCTGTGGGGCGCTAACCGAACGTGGCTGATTGCAATTATCGCATGGTGTTCTCGCGTACCGACTGATCTCTTTCGCGCGGTATGAGCGGCTGTCTGTCGCGCGGGGCTCTGTGTTGGTCAGCCGCTCCTGACGCGTTCAGAACTTGTTATGGATTGCGTCCTCGTATCGTTCACGGTACGAGGTGATCCCTCCTTCCCGCGATCTCTCCTCTGTCCCTGACCTGTCGCGCTCCACACTCTCTCCCTCTGTCCCTGACCTGTCCCGCTCCACACTCTCCTCTGCCCATGGCCTGTCCCGCCCCACACTCTGTCCCTGACCTGACCTGTCTCGTTCCACACTCTCTCCTCTGACCCGAACTGTCCCTCTCCACACTCTCTCCTCTGTCCCTGACCTGTCCCGCTCCACACTCTCCTCTGCCCCTGGCCTATCCCGCCCCACACTCTGTCCCTGACCTGACCTGTCCCGCTCCACATTCTCTCCTCTGCCCCTGGCCTGTCCTGCTCCACACTCCTCTCCTCTGCCACTGGCCTGTCCTGCTCCACACTCTCTCCTCTGCCCCTGGCCTGTCCTGCTCCACACTCTCTCCTCTGCCCCTGGCCTGTCCTGCTCCACACTCTCTCCTCTGCCCCTGGACAGTCCCGCTCCACACTCTCTCCTCTGTCCCTGACCTGTCCCGCTCCACACTCTCCTCTGCCCCTGGCCTATCCCGCCCCACACTCTGTCCCTGACCTGACCTGTCTCGTTCCACACTCTCTCCTCTGTCCCTGACCTGTCCCGCTCCACATTCTCTCCTCTGCCCCTGGCCTGTCCTGCTCTACACTCTCCTCTCTGCCCCTGAGCTGTCGCGCTCCGCACTCTCTCCTCTGTCTCTGATCTGTCCTGCTGTACACTCTCCCCTCTGCCCCTGGCCTGCCCTGCTCCACACTCTCCCCTCTGCCCCTGGCATGCCCTGCTCCACACTCTCCCCTCTGCCCCTGGCCTGCCCTGCTCCACACTCTCCCCTCTGCCCCTGGCCTGCCCTGCTCCACACTCTCCCCTCTGCCCCTGGCCTGCCCTGCTCCACACTCCCCCCTCTGCCCCTGGCCTGCCCTGCTCCACACTCTCCCCTCTGCCCCTGGCCTGCCCTGCTCCACACTCTCCCCTCTGCCCCTGGCCTGCCCTGTTGTACACTCTCCTTTCTGCCCCTGACCCACACAGCAGTCCTCACCAGACCATCGTTCTTTTGAGGCCGTTATTGCCCTGACTTGTGCCTGTCGAGCGGTAGTGGGCGACGGACCGGCGGTGGGCGACGGACCGCAGCGGACGGGCCTCTCCCACACGTCCCACCATGGTCCCACACATATGATTATCCAATGTTGTGCCCCGAAAGCCACGGGGCTGTATTTTATGGACATTGATGTGTCTGCGAATATATTTACACGGTGAGCTGGTCATGCGGTGTTGCTGTTGCGTTGTAGGGGAAATGACCGAAGCTCCAGGGGAATCGCGAACGCGTGTGAAGGATTCCGATGCTTTTGGACTTCTGCTTTTGAACCGAACTTTGCGTCGCGATGGAGTCGCCTAGTGATGATGCCAGGGCGTTATGAAAACGATAACGAAGCCAGCCGCCTGTCGATACCAAAAAGCGGCGTGACGCGCTGGGAAGGTCACAGACTGGCGCGATGTACTGACCTGCAAGCTGCAAGTTTTTTTTTTAAAATCCCGTATCTCTCGTCTCCTCGGTGTTTGGTCTGCTCCTGGCGCATACCCATGCAAATGTCCGCAACGACGGAACATCGCGGCAACAGCCGCGCCAGAGAGTGAAACCAAAGTGTCAAGCCCCAATGACACACACACACACACACATTCTGAGTCTGTGGCAGCAGTCAGGGCGCGGATCCGGAGAGCGCCGCGGATAAAGAGGGCGTGCAGTTTCTGGCGGTTTATTGCCACAGGGTTGTACAGCACACAGGTGATCCTCAGTCACCAGAGGCACGACAGCCCGTCGATACGCTTCTCTGAACGCCCTGCAACGCTCCATTCAGCAATAAATATCTAGCACGCTAATGCCGTTTTTTTGTGCGTTCGCGCATACCATAAATGCCCTTTATCTCCATGCGTGTGCTTTGGTGCGTGTGTGCTCCAGCGCCCAATCGCTGGAGCCTTGTGTAATGCTCCCACGCGTCACCTGTGCTTGAGCGTTCACATGCGTGACGTCTGTGTGAACCGTGTGAGAATCGTCACGTGCATGGCTCTCACTCGGCGCTACCGGGCCCGAAGTATGGGTAATGACCGCTCTGCGTGCGTGTCACATGTGCCGACACGGGATGTCTCCGCGGTGAGCAAGGCACAGCCTAAACAACCTAACGGACTGCATGCAAGCAACTCACCCCATCTGAGCCAAATCGACGCGCAGCTGACGCCAGTTCCCAACGACAGCCCCCCGCCCCCCCATGACGCACCTGTTCGGCGGACATGCGCCATCTTGAGGTTTGGGGTGGAGCATGTACTGCGAGCGCACCCAAGTCTGATGCTTTACACCAGTGGACTCATGACCTGATGCTTGGGACCGGTGTGGAAACGGTGTAACATGATTCTGGCTCACCCGATCCGTCACGGTCACGCCCCCTCCCGTTCCGCCCGGTCCGGCCGCCTGTACCCTAACCGCAGTCCGCCAGCGTCCTGCCATCTGACCTTGTCACCGCGACCTTGACCCCTGAGCAGGCCTTCCAGGAGCGGGCCACCGCAATGTGCAGGTCTGAAGTCCGATCAGTCCGACTGGACCTGCGTTGGGCCTGACCCGAATCAGAAGCAAACTGATCAGATGCGAGTCGAACTGGATCGGACCAGACCGAACCGGCTGAGGTCGGGCCCGACCCCGTCAGTCGAGCAACGGGCGGAACCCTTTGTACAGATCGGGCAGCGTGAACTCGGCCGGCTGACGATCGGCGGCCCCGGCCTCCTCCCTCTCCGCCTCGGGCGCCGGCGCCGGCGGCCGGTAGTATTCCACCTCGGGCTCCTCGAACCGAAGGGCGTCGGGCCCGAGGTCGACCGAGGTGACAGAGCCGACGCCGGCGGCGGCCGGCGCGCCGCCCGGCCCGCCCACCGCGAAGCTCGAGCTGTGCACCACCTCCACCGTCATCACGTCACGCGAGGCGTCGAACACGTGGCCTGCCGTGACGACGTCGTACGGCTCGGCGGTGGTGGGTGGTCTGGTGGTGGTGGTGGGTGGTCTTGTGGTGGTGGTGGATGGTCTGGTGGTGGTGGTGGGTGGTCTGGTGGTGGGTGGTCTGGTGGTCGGCCGTGGCGCGGTGGTGGGTGGGGTCGCCGCCGAGCTGGTCGTGGTCGGCCCAGCTCTGACGGTTGACCTGGCTGTGGTCGCCGGCCTTATCGTTATGGTCGCCGCGGTGGTGGTAGTTGACCTGACGGTGGCGGCGGTGACCTTCGGTGATGGCTCGACGGTGGCGACGGCCGGCTTCGTGGCCGTCACCGTTTCCCTCGACACGGTCAGCTGCGGCGTCACCTCCCGCACGAAGCCCAGCACGTGATCTGTTTCCTTCGGGTCCAGCGAGCCGCCAACTACGCGCCATCGCTGCTGCGGCGGTGGCGGCCGAGCTGGAGCGTCGGCCACCCGCCGGGCGGCCACGGCCCGCTCCTGACTCCACTCCCGCTCCTGCTCCTGACCGGTGCCCCACTCGTGCTCCCGGATCGGGCCCGGCGCCGGCGGCTGCTCCTGACGCCACCCCTGGTCCCAGTCTTGCTCTTGGCCCTGGTACAAAGCCGGGTCCTGTTCTTGGTCTTGGAAGAGTGCGGGGTTCTGCGCCTGATCGTCGTAAACAACGGGATCTTGCTCATGGTACATGGCTGGATCCTGGTATTCGTCATATCGTTCCTGGTCCTCATATTCCGTGGCTGGCTCCAGGTATTGCGTCGCCGCCTCCTGAATCCGCTCCTGCTGAGCCTGCTTCTGTTCCTGGCCCTGCTCCGTCTCCTCCTCCTGCTCTTCTTCAAGAGGCGGTGGCCGGCGTAAAAACGTCTGCGTAAGCAGAGGCGAATCAGCGTTCGTGGCGTACACAAACTGGGTTTTCGCCCCGCCCGACGGCTCCTGTTCCTGCTCCTGATCCTGATCCTGATCCTGATCCTGTCTTTGATCCTGTTTCCGCCCTGGCTCCGACTTCGCCTCCGACTTCGCCTCCGGCTCCGGCTCCGGCTCCGGCTCTGGCATGGCCTCCGACTCTGGCTTTGGTTCTGCCTGCGCTTCCGGCTCAGGTTCTGGTGCCGACTGCGGCTCCGGCTCTGGCGTTGCCTCCGGCGCCTCGGTGCCGCTTGTGACAGGTCCCGGCTGGGGACGACTCGAGACGTTCTCCACGGGCTGGGGACGACCATCGCCGGCCTCCCACGCCGGCTGGGGACGACCGATCAGCGCGCTCTCCGCCACGGCCGCCTCTGGCTCGGGGCGACTCTCACCTCCGACCCCCAGCTGATCGCCGCCTCCCTCCGCCGTCGGCGGCGGTGTGCTGACCATGATCAGGTCGTCCTCGGCGCCGAACGCCAGCTGACCGGCCGCCTGCGCGCTGTCCGCCGCCGGCGCGCCGAACACGCCGCCCGTCAGGCCGGCCTCCTCCGGCGAGTCGCCGTCGGTGTCGACGAGGGCGACGACGTCGGCGTCGGCGCGCTGCTCGAGCAGGCGCACCACGTCGGCGTCGGCCGTCGGCTCCGGGTGTGGGATGTACGGCGCGCCCGGTGGCGGCTCCTCGAACGGCCCCACCACCATGATCCGCCTGTCGTCCATCAGCGTGGCGGGACGGGCGGTCGGCCGGCGCGGCGCCGCCGGCGGCGGACGCGGCGGGGAGAGCGGACCCGGCCGTGGAGCCTGGGCCGCCGAACCGATGGGAGATGGACGGACCGGCGGTGGACGGACCGCCGCTGGACGGACCGGAGCTGGACGGACCGGTGCTGGACGGACCGGTGCTGGACGGACCGGCGCTGGTTGGACGGGCCCTGGACGGACCGGCGGCGGCCGCTGGTTCTGCGGCGGCGGCGGTCGCGAGGGACCGGGCTGCGCCCGCCGCGGCGGCTGCTGCTGCGCGGGCGGCCGCGGCGGACGTGCTCGCCTGCGCGGCGGTCCGTCCGGCCGGTACGGCGTCTGCGGCGGCGGCCGCGGCGGGCGCAGCACCTGCATCACGCTCGGCTTGGAGAGCGCCGGGTGCAGCATCTGGAGCGTGCTCACCCGCGAGCCGGGAAGGGCGGGCTCAGGCTCGCCACGGCGTCGGCTCACCTCGCTGCTCGCCAGGGGGCGCCTGGGGCCCTTGCCTCCGGTCGGAGAGGGTCTCCTCAGGTCCTCGCCCTCGGTTGGAGGGGGTCTCCTCGGGGCCTCGCCTCCCGCTGGTGGGGGCCTCCTCGGAGCTTCGCCTCCCGTCAGAGGGGGTCTCCTCGGGGCCTCGCTGCCCGCTGGGGGCCTCTGTGGGCTCGCGCCGCTCGCTGGGGGCCTCCGGAGAACTCCACCGCCCGGCGGCGGTCTCCTCTGACCCTCACCGCCCGTCGGCGGCCGGCGGCGCGGCGGTGCTGACTGCGGGAACAGCTGGCCGCCCGGCGCGTTTGGCCTGAACTGTGGCAGGATATTGGGCGGCTGCGATACGGGCTCATGGCGCATCGGTTCCACCCGGCGCCAGTCTGGCCTCGGCTCCTCTGCCGGCGCCTCCGGCAGGCTGAACAGTTCCGCCTGCTGCGACGCTTGCGCCGACGCCTGAGGGGGCGGCGGCGGGCGCGGCCGCAGTCCAGCAGGCGGCCGCCGCTCCTCCTCGTCCTCCTCGCCACGGAACCAGCTGAGCAAGCTGCCGAGGTACCCGGCGGATGGCTTCTTGGTGGGCGGCGGTCGGCGCGGGCGGAGCGGGCGCGCCCCCTCCGGTGGCGGCCGGCGACCCGGACGCGTGCGCTCCGGCGGCGGCGGCAGCCGGTCCGCAGCCGAGACAAACGACGGCTCTCGCGGGACGTACTCGCCGCCGTCGTACTCGCCGCCGAAGCCGGGCGCTGGTGGCGTGGACTCTCGCTGCCAGGGCTGCGGCTCGGCTGGCGCCGGCCGCCGCCGTTCGCCGGCCCAGAAGTCCTCGGGCGAGGGCCGGAACGGCTCAGGCGCCGACGGTGGCCGGCGCACGGGCGGCGTCAGCGGACCGGCGGCGGTCGGCTCCGCTGCGGGCTGGCGCGGCTGGCCGAGCGCCGGCGCCGCGCGCTCCGGCGGCGGCTGGCGCACGGGCTGCGGCTGGGAGGCCGCCGGCGCCGCTCCCGGGCCGGGCTCGGCCGCCGATTGGCGGACCGGCGGTGACGTCGGCGGTGACGTGGCGGCGGCCGTGGTGCGCGGGATGTACGGCACATGCTGCCGACGGCGCACGGCGCCGGGCCGCAGCCCGGCGGCCAGCTTGTGGTGGAGCGGCACGCGGCCGGGTCTTCTCTCCCCCTCCGCCTCCTTTTCCTTCCCCTCTTCGGCCTTCTCCGGGCGCCTCGCCCCGCCGTCGGCCGCCGCCGGCGCGCCACTGGTGGGCGTGATGACCTGAGTGGGCGGCGCGGGAGGCCGGGCAGTGCTCGGCGGCGCAGTGGGCGCCGCTGCCGGCCGCCGCGTCGCCCTGGTCGCCGAAGCGTACCCCTGCAGTTTGGTGTTCGCGTAGCCGCCGGTCACCAGCGGCGCGCGCAGCTGCTCGAGACGGTCCCGCACCTGCGAGGGCCGGCGTCCTGCGGGCGCCGGCGAGACATCGCCTGTGGAGGAGGTCGCTTTCAGACGCAGGTGGGGCCGCTGGGCTCTCTGGGAGGCGAGCTGGTGTGTGGGAAGGCGAGCTGGTGTGTGGGGAGGCGAGCTGGCGTCAGGGAAGATGAGCTGGTGTGTGGGGAGGCGAGCTGGTGTGTGGGAAGGCGAGCTGGTGTGTGGGGAGGCGAGCTGGTGTGTGGGAAGGCGAGCTGGTGTGTGGGGAGGCGAGCTGGTATATGGGGAGGCGGGCTAGTGCGTGGGGAAGTGAGTGGGTGTCAGGGGAGGGGATCTGGTGTGTGGGGTGCTGAGCTGGTGTGTGTGTCGGGGGCGGGGGCGAGATGATGTGGGTGGGGGAGAGGGGACGAGCTAGGAAGGTGCGCACGACGGCGCCGGCGTCATCAAATGTTGGCAATGTGTCCGTGTCAGTGGTGTGTCAGTGATGCGATGTCCCGTTCTTTGTGTTTATGTCGGTGGCGTGTCCAGAACTTACGTTTTTTAGGCTACCCCAGACACCTGCCCACAAATCATGTCATTAGTACTGCACCCTGTGGAATCAGACATCATGTGTATTGATGCAATGAAGAGTGACGTTTAAGTTGTCTCCTTTCAGAGTCAGAATACCAGCAAACCCAGACTAAATTCATACTATCATTTAGACACATTTTAATTGTATGTTATTTGATAGCATAACATCCCGAAGCCGCAGCTCCTGGTACCTCAGCTCCTGGTAAACTCACCGCCCGTCGGCCGCTCCTGGCCGTAGTCTTGGTGTTGTCCACCAGGTGTCTCTTCGGCTCCCGCCTGGGAGTAGCGGACCTCCTCTATGGTCTCCGGCGTGTACTGGCTCTGAGAGAGAGACACACCAGCTCACGGTCACATCTGGCGGTGTGTGACGTGTTCTCTTGGTCGTCGAGAGTCGTCCTCAGATACGAATACAGCACGGAGCGCGAAGAACTGGCGGTGTGTGACGTGTTCTCTTGGTCGAGAGTCGTCCTCAGATACGAATACAACACGGAGCGCGAAGAACTGACGGTGTGTGTTGTGTTCTCTTGGTCGAGAGTCGTCCTCAGATACGAATACAACACGGAGCGCGAAGAAAAGCGAATTGTTTGGTTTGGGCTGGAGCGATTTCGGCCAGTAAAGCTCATTCCAGACCCATGATGTTCAGGAGACGGTTTGGTAATGAGGTGGGACTGCAGTCATCCCCGGAGGCCTCCGCTGATGGGCTTTAACCCTCACATACTGCTCTGATCCTTTGCATCCTTCTCCAATTCTCTCCCACGGTCTGGTCCGATCCTTTACATTGTTTTCTGGCCCTTCTCTGGGGTCTGTACCGGGCGTCCAGGCGGGACTCCGGGGCCGTGGCGTCCAGGCGTCCAGGCGGGACTCTGGGGCCGTGCTGGGCGCCCGGGCAGGACTCTGGAATCTGTACCGGGTGCCCCGGGGAGGGGGGGGGGGGGGCTCCCAGCCGGGGCAGTCCCGGAGGCAGCTCACAGCTCGCGGCCGCAGCATACCCTGGACAGAAGAGACGTTGCGAGGGTCGGGGAATACGCGGTGCGTGAGGAAAACAGACCAGATAAGGGGAGCGGAGTGAGAGAACGCAAGCCTTTCAACACCACAGTCAGCACGCCTTTCACCGGATCTCGAGACGGCGAACATTGAAGACCGCGTGCGCACCAAAAGCAAAAAAACGAACCGATTTAAAAAAACATTGTCAGGTTGACAAGACATCACAACAAACTTCATGCAGACACATCACAGTATTTATCACGTGAAGCGTCCATGGCAGCTTGCTGCGTTCGGACAGTGTGCGCGCTTGTCTGCTGTTATCCCGACCTGGTAGTGCTGGTACGACTGACGGACAGGCAGGTGGTCACCGGCAGATGGCAGCACGATCGGACGGTGGCGCTGAAATAAATAACGATGCGCTGAAGGCGAAGGTGGGTGCGCAGAAGAACACGCGATGTGCGGGCGACAAGCGAGCCACGCGGTAGTTAAGTTTGGTATTTGTTACATTTTCAACAGAGTGGCAGTATCGTGATCAGATACAACGGACGGTGCATCTTAGCTACGAGGTGCATGTTGGCCCTCAATCATGTTGGCTGCTAGTTTAAGAGCCGGACATTGGTGAGGAAACGGATCGGTTGGCAGCCCCTCGACGCTTGATAACGCGGAGCCTATCGGCGCTTCCGCTGCCAGCGTAGCGAAATCGGCGCTCGCAACAACCCCAACCACGGCGATTTGAGCCCGCGGCCCTGCCGACAACGAGCCATGTGCCCGGTCCGCTCGCTGGCCCGTCTTCGGCGCGCGGTCCCCCAGAGAGCGTGACGGTGCCTCACCAGCGGCGGCTGGTCGTTGACCAGGCCGGCCCTGCGACTCAGCTGGCGGGACACGCGGTTGGCCTCCTCCAGCTGCGCCTCCGATTGGCTGATCTCCCGAACAGTCGCCGCCGCCGCCGCCGGCAGCCAGCGCACCGTCACCGTACGGGTGGCGCCATCTGTACCGCGCTGGCTCGTCGGGTTGCCCAGAGATGGCGCTGGCGGCGCGGCGGCATGATGCGATGCGGTGGCGAGGGCGGTCAGCGTTATTAGGGCCAACGGCACCTGAGGAAGGAAAGGCAAAGTAAGCGACCTTAAAGAAACAAAATTAATGGTTTAGTGAGAATAACAACAAAATGTATGGTTCAACGATAGAGACGTAGCAAAATGCAATGGCCAGTGCTAAGCGAAAAATGTTGCCACAGATCATCATGCGAAGTGCGAGTGCTCAATAACATGCTTGGAGCCTCCCCAGCCGCGCATACGCGAAAGCTATGTAATTACACGAAGAAGTCATTTACTGCGTGACATTTCTTCAGTACAAAAAAAAATGAAAGAAGACTTCATAACATGTGCGTGTCGACGAAGAAACGAGTAAAACGGAATAGGGTACGGTTCAACCATCTGCAATGTAAGAAAAAAAGTGAAAAAACAAGCGAATTCAAGAGCGGACAACGAAAATATATAAAGATTGCAATCCGGCACAATGCGAATGACGTAAGACGGTTTTTCAACGCCCATCGCCGGAACACTGTGCAGGAGAACCCACACAGCTGCATCATGGACCCATGTGCAGGTCCATGATACGTGCACTTCGTCGACCCTCGCGTGAGGTCTGTATACCAGAGGCCTGTGACAATTCCCACCTGACACGCGTTCTGCTATAAAATTTGTCATAAAATGTGATTATTACTTAAGCTGTTCTATCAGCCGTGCTCCAATGCCCATTATATTCCTCAGGAAATCCCCATCCAGCCGTATTAGTTGCTCTTAGCAGAACCAGCGAGAGACAAGCTGCCAGCGATCTTCATAGATGGTAACGAGCACATCCGTGACCTTGGAAGATTAACACCCTACATAAACACCAAAAAACATGGGAATGTATTCCCTTTCAAAAAGCCTGTCTGCTGTGCAACAACGACCCCAACAGTGACAGCAGGCCCTACTTTCATACAAGCTTATTAGCGGACAAATGCCGTCAGGTTACCGCGTCTCCATCTACGAAAATGAGCAGCGCAACAGTCACTAAGCCTGTACCCTTTAAAACGGGGGCTGTACTCTTCCATTTGTTTGGAGTGATTCGTAAAAAGTACTGACTACCCGAGCCCCCCCCCCCCCCCCGTTTCTCCGTTGGCAACCAGCTTCAAGTGTCATCGGATCCGGTTCATGACATGATCGCCGCGGCGCCGCGTGTGCCCAGTGGCGTCAGGGTGTCGACTGCATGATCCCCAATCCAGCCTGATCCGGCCTGATCTGCTTCGATCAGCGCCGGCGCGAGGCAGCAGGCCGTGCCGGTCAGGCTGGCTGACCCGGCACCGCGCAAAAACCGACACCGGCCCGGCCGACTGACCCAGGAGCTCGCGAGCCAAGGCCTCGCGCGGTCACCGACCCCGGGCCCGCGCCGGGCGGTGACGTGGTGTGACGTCACCGGTGGCCCCTGAGCCGTGAGACGACTGCGTGGCGCCGGTCTCTCAGGGACGCTGCTGTTGGTGCTCGCTCATCGCAGGGGTCAGGAGAATCAGTGAGAAGGCCCTGTGCCCCGCCTGGTGGCCCTAAGGGCTGGGTCAGGGTCGCCCACCGGAACAGATGGAGCGTCGCCGGTGGAACGGTCACCAGCGGCCTCTCACCCATCACGGGCAAGTCCTGGACGCACAGGGGCGCGCCCAGCGTCCCAGTGGAGCCATCTCCGGTGTCGATGGAGCGTCACCACCGGGGGCAGTTTGTGCCGCTTCGGGACCGCGGCGCATGCATTGGTGGGCGCCCCTGGGCTGTAGCGAGCCGGGCCTGCGGCGCAGCGCCCGCCTCTGACCCGGTTCCCAGGAAGATCAGCGAACCGGGGCTGTGGGCCGGACGGGGTGCGGCTGACGGGTGTGGGGCAGGACGGGACGGGCCGCCTCTCGTCCAACCACTGCTGGCACCGGACGGGCTGCGGCCGCGCTCACTGGCCGACAGCGCCCCCAAGCAGGGCACACGTCCGTTTCTCGATCTGACCCAGTCTCTCTCTCTCTCTCTCTCTCTCTCTCTCTCTCTCTCTCTCTCTCTCTCTCTCTCTCTCTCTCTCTCTCTCTCTCTCTCTCTCTCTCTCTCTCTCTCTCTCTCTCTCTCTCTCTCTCTCTCTCTCTCTCTCTCTCTCTCTCTCTCTCTCCCTCCTCCCCCTCCCTCCCTCTCTCCCTCTCCCTCTTCGCTCTCTCGCTCTCTCCCTCCTTTCTCACTCCCTCTGCCCGCAGGCGACACGCGGCCTTCCCGTGACCACCGCACCGTTTCGAACTGCGTAGAACACGCGCTGCGCAGAAGCTGGAGTACACCTGCCCTGAGAGATATCCCCATGACTTCGAGCAGTCAACAATGCGCGCGGGAACTGATCGCGTGGCCAGTGGGGCAGATAACGTCTGTATGGAGTATGTTAACATATTTGGTGGTCGTTAAACCGCCTGGGTCTACCGAGATGTCGTTTTTCTAGATGCATAAGGACGTGCGAAACATCTTTTAATTCGTTTTGTGTCTTTAATTTTGTCACTGGGGCTCTCTTAACCGTGGAATATCCCGTCATAATTGAATCAACTCTCTGTGAGCAGCCTGTGAAAGGTGGACATGTGACGCTGGAACATCAGTCCTGGTGGCGTTTCAATCCGGTTTTGCGGTACGAGACTAAGCGTAAACATTGCGTAATCTGTTGATTGCAAAGATGCATTTGGAAGAAATCCGTTTCGCCCCACCCGACGAAAATAAAGAGAAAAAGCCTTTTCCGTCACTAGCTTACGTAATGAACTATGAAATTATCTGCGACGCACCGCGCATTAACCGCAAAAAAGAAAATCTGTTGGCGCGTGGTTCCAATCCCTTCAAGCCACACCCGAGTATGCCAACCATTTGCGTCACGTATGAATATCGCAAGGGAACCCCCGCGCGCCGACTCAGTCACGTGTGGCCCTCCTGCATTCCACGCATAATCTGCAAGGTCGTTGACCAGGGGCCGCGCGGCCGCAGCAGAAATGCGGAAGATGTGGGTTACCATGACAACGGTGTCGGCGTGACCTTGGCCTCCGGCGGGCCGCGCGAACCGTTATCACCTCCGTGTGGCTGGGATGGCCGCGGTCCGCAAGCCAGCTGACGAAAGAGTGACGGGCGGGCACGCCGAGACTCTCCCCTTGTATGTGATGGGGGAGGGGGGAGGGGGAGGGCAACAAGGTCAAAGACAGGGTCGTTTCGCGACGCATCCCTGTATGCTTGGGACGGAACGCACCAAGTGATAAGGCATCCGAACTGCGCGCGATGCAACGAGCCCATGCCGCTAGCCCGCTTCGGCCACGTCTGCTTAGAGGGCTATCGACCTGCGCCATGCGTTCGTCAGGTTGCCCCGATCACACTGCGGGAAGGGAGTGCCCAGAAGCCCGTACAGGATTTTGCAAGGGGCTCAGCTCGATATTTTCCCCTGAGAATCCCAACTTAATCCACCACAGGCGCGTGTTTTTCTGCGTTTTGACGCAAGTATTTTGCAAAACGGATAATAACAACACATACGGCATGGCCGAATCCACTTGTTTTTGCTTGCATTTTTCTGATTTTGTAATTGACGAAAAATTTATTCCCGTTCATGTCAATAGGTGTAGCATTTCTTAAAGGTAGGGGTGGCACGTACCCCCATCCGTTTGGGTGCGTCACCGGAAGTGACGTTTTCGTGAAGCCTGCCGGGCGGCGACGGTGAGTCATTCCCGGCTCTCGGGTTACAGTCCACGTGATCGGGGTCATAGTCCACGGCGCGTGCCAGCCGCGTCGCTATGAGTCACAATCCGTGTCGTCTGACACACATGACACGCGGGCCCAGCACGCCACGCGGGCATGATACGACGCAGACCAATATTTCCGGAACTCGCGGCGCGGAGTGCAGACATGCGACTCCGCGCGTGCAGCTAAAGCACGCGTGTAAAAAATACGTGATGGAGGCGCGGCGAAATTATAGAAATTGTAGCACTTAGAAGACGTGCCAGCGGGCTGGACATTTCTGAAGTGTAACATCGAAATATTATCGCTTAGGAAGGCTGGCAACCAGGAATTTAGCTGTGGCATCCTTTTAGTGTGATTGTACGTCATCAGCCAAAAGTATGCCTATCAGTCCCTGGGTGACCAACACGACGGTGGGAAAACAATGCTACTGGCCCAAAGCCACTGGTAAATCATCTAAAATATGGCTGAACGCGAAGTGAAGACTTCGCCTTTTACAAACACTTCGGTTTCCAAAAGCTTAGGGTTTAAGTCGTAGCTTTACCCAAATGATAGCGTTAAAACTGCTATGGTTTGCGAAATCTGACAAGCATTTGTGGGATGCTTGAAGACCGGAGCCTTATGCGCTCAAGGAACTTTCCCTTGGGCTTTTCCGAAAGGAGCTGAATGTCATTGTCTTGAGGCCCTCACGGGCTTCAAGACAGGTACTTGACTCGCTTGACACGCCATGCATATGGCGTGTCAAGGGCAGGTGAAGAGGGGAGCTTAGCGTTTCCCGCCCGCAATGGATCTGCGCTGCTTTTAACTGGTCCTCATGTAAGTTACCGAGTCCGCATAGTCAAGGGAGGCTACGCGCATCGGGAAATGTTCGAACCGCTATCGGCACAACCGTATTGTCACAAGGCCGTGCCTTCCTTTCCGGGCATTGCACTCATGACGGGTAGAAGACCGACGGCCACCCTCGCGTCAGCTGTGGCCACCGTAGTCCGTCCTCGCGGCCTCTCAACTGGTGAGCGCCGCAGGCCAGCCTGCAGGAAACCACGGCCGACAAGCGCCTCAGCAGGCTGCCCCAAAGTCGTCCTGACGGGCACACAAGACACCGGCGGCGGCGGCGGCTCGCTGTCGGCAGGGAGCGCCTCCGCACACGAGACACCGGCGGCGGCGACGGCTCGCTGTCGGCAGGGAGCGCCTCCGCACACGAGACACCGGCGGCGGCGGCGGCTCGCTGTCGGCAGGGAGCGCCTCCGCACACGAGACACCGGCGGCGGCGACGGCTCGCTGCCGGCAGGGAGCGCCTCCGCACACGAGACACCGGCGGCGGCGGCTCGCTGCCGGCAGGGAGCGCCTCCGCACACGAGACACCGGCGGCGGCGGCGGCTCGCTGCCGGCAGGGAGCGCCTCCGCACACGAGACACCGGCGGCGGCGGCGGCGGCTCGCTGCCGGCAGGGAGCGCCTCCGCCACACGAGACACGGGTGGTGACTCGCTGCCGGCCGTGGGCGTCTCCGCCACGGGGGACACCGGTGGTGACTCGCTGCCGGCCGTGGGCGCCTCCGCACACGAGACACCGGTGGTGACTCGCTGCCGGCAGGGAGCGCCTCCGCACACGAGACACCGGTGGTGACTCGCTACCGGCCGTGGGCGTCTCCGCCACGGGGGACACCGGTGGTGACTCGCTGCCGGCCGTGGGCGCCTCCGCCACGGGGGACACCGGTGGTGACTCGCTGCCGGCCGTGGGCGCCTCCGAACACGGGACACCGGTGGTGACCCGCTGCCGGCCGTGGGCGCCTCCGAACACGGGACACCGGTGGTAACCCGCTGCCGGCCGTGGGCGTCTCCGCCACGGGGGACACCGGTGGTGACCCGCTGCCGGCCGTGGCGCCTCCGCACACGAGACACCGGTGGTGACTCGCTGCCGGCCGTGGGCGCCTCCCCTCACGAGACACCGGTGGTGACTCGCTGCCGGCCGGGGCGCCTCCGCACTGCCTGGCTCGTCATGCATGGAGCCTGCGGTGACGACCGAACCGGCTGGGTTTGACCGGCGGCACCGGGACTGCTCAATGAGGTCAGCCGGCGGTGGTATGCGGGAAGGCGTCCCTGCAGCGGCTGGCCTATTTCCACATGATCGGGTCGCGCTCCCTCGAAAACTCTGGCGGGGAGAGGGGGGGGGGGGGGCTGCTGCTTGGTTGGAAACGATGGAGGTCTTAAGACGCCGCCAGTGTTCTGTGTATACCTAGTATGGCAAGCTTGTCCGCGCGGATGGTGCGCAAGTGATGCCCAATATTTGTATTTCGCAGGACTGATGCATTAAATACCATCGCGGGTTTTGTCTGTAGCTTAAACAGAGCTCATATATCATAGGTGGAAAGCTGGTCGAAATGTGAGGGCTGTGTGCAGCTAATCGTTTGCGTGCACAGTTGTATCGCGCGCTCAGTTTTCAACGGGGCAGCGAGGCCTGATGACGGCATCACGCGAGGCCTGATGACGGCATTAAGAGCATCCAGGAAGCATCTGATTCAGGCAGTTCAGTGCGGCACACGCACCGACAATTACACGTGAAATCAGGGCGTAGTTTTGCGAAATAAGTTGGACTGAGTAATGAAAAATGACTAAGCCTGCCCCAAGAATGCGTCAAAAAAGCACATCTTCCACGGATTTGGGCCGCATTCTTTTCAAAGCTGAAACGAGTCCTCCATCCTCCATTGAATAAGAAACCACAACCCCTGCGTGGGCTGTGTGAATGTGCGAGGCGCGGAGCTGTACAGGCTGTTTGTCAGCGTCAGCCGGCTACAAGTCGAGGGCGATGACCCGGAATCGATCAGCAGCATTCCCTCGTTGTGCCTCGCTTTGGCGTCAGATGAGGGTGTCTTTGCGCGCCTCAGCACCTCAGATCAGAGGCCACCATAACGCCTCTGTCGCTCCCATTGTCCATCCCACCAGGCCTAGGCGGCTCTGATCCGGCGCTTGTGCGCCTCTGCGCTCGGCGCCTTTGCACCTCTGTGCTCGACGCCTCTGAACCTCTGCACCTCCGCACCTCTGCGCCTCGGCGCCTCTGCACCTCTGCGTCTCTGCGCCTCTGCGCTCGGCGCCTCTGAGCCTCTGCACCTCTGCGCCTCTGCATCTCTGCGCCGCTGTGCCTCTGAGCGCGGAGACGCACTCTGCGCTCGGCGCCTCTGCGCTCGGCGCCCCTGCACCTCTGCGCCTCTGCATCTCTGCGGCTCTGCGCCTCTGCACCTCCGCGTCTCTGCGCCTCTGCGCTCGGCGCCTCTGAGCCTCTGCACCTCTGCACCTCTACGCCTCTGTGCCTCTGCGCTCGGCGCCTTTACACCTCTGCGCCCCTGCCCCTCTGCGCCTCTGCGCCTCTGCTCTCGGCGCCTCTGCGACTCCTCTTGGTCTCCGCGACTCTATATCCACAGCTGAAGAAGCGTCGGAAGGATCACTCCCCTCACACGCGTTTGTTAATGACATTGAAGGAAAGGAACTACACGCGAGACGACTAACAATGATACATGGGGGCGTCCGTAAGTTATGTTACGCGGGAGCGGAACGTAACTGGCGGACGCCCACATGGAGCGGGTTGATGGAGCGTACCTGAAGCGTAGCATTGGGGTGGGGGTTTTGGGCAGCGTAACGTCACGCTGGGGTAGAGTCTCAAATCGAGCTGAAATCCGTAAGTAAACATTTTCACAGCATACCTAGGTGAAGGAGTCCCTCGCCCAGCACAACCGGTGCATACCCAGGAGGGAGTGACCAAAAGTGCATGAAAATGCATGATCTACGGGCGGCCTTCATGAAAGAAATTAACGCGAAAACGCGAACGCGAAAGCGTTCTACTAAGCGCGACTAAGCTGCCTTCGCGAAAGCGAAGGCAGCTTAGTCGCAGCGCTGTTTAGGCTTCTGTTGCGCCGCTGTGTCCGTCTGCACAGTGCGCCGACTTACCTGGAGTCTGCGCTGCATCGCTGTGTGGGCCTCTGTTGCGCCGCTGTGTCCGTCTGCACAGTGCGCCGACTTACCTGGAGTCTGCGCTGCATCGCTGTGTGGGGCATCTCCCCGGCGTCGGCTGCCGTGGAGCAGCCCACCTCCCGCCGACCACCGACGACTAGCGACTTGTGCGCGGCCGGCGTCTCCGGAGCGGAGGTGCCCGCCGAGTTCAGCCACCCTCGCCGGCTAACGGTGCGCCGCGACCGCCGCGGCCGCAGTGACCTATATGGTGGCTACTGGCGCCCGCTCTAACTGTACAACCGGCACGCGTACCACGTGACGGCCGGCGCGCGTGTGTTGCAGGGGCGGGGCCGCGGGCCCAAACGCGTTCGCCAAGGGGGGGGGGGGGGGCAAAGGATGAGCGGTGGTGATTATCCCATTCGGTTTCGGCGTTTGAGTGTTCGGTCGTGCGCATCTAGCTGTTTTGTTGGAAAAACCGGAATCTTTATTTGCATTGTCAAGTTCACACGCGAACTCCAGGGCACCGGTAGTGCAATGATTAACCCACATGTGTGGGAAACCAGGGGTGAGGGGTTTGATTATGTGCGGTACAAGCCCTTCCTGCTAGGGGGAGAAGCAGGCGACGCCATATAGCCTCAGCGGTTGAGTGCGTCGTAAGGCCCCAGTGGCGATAACGCATTCAGTGAATGCATGCCATTGTGTTAACAGAAAGGCAGGCAAAACATAGCCGATCTTTAGCATCCAGCCTGACTGCTCACCCAGAACAAATCTCCCGAGGAGCCTGCATACCGTCACGGTGTAGAAGATGCGCCGGGGCTCCCGCCCAGGGTTTCATGCTTTCTCTTGCACAGTTCCACATTAGTGCAACAACAAAAACGCCTACCGACAGGAGTGATACAACATTACCTCTGCTGCCAATATACTTATACATGACATTAGTGCTACACAATAAAACTTATGTTTCAAGGAGTCATAGTCGTCGCTCTTCTACCGGAAATGCTCATAGTCATCGCTTATGCGTGATATCACTGCTACCGCAAAAACTTATGCACGACATTTGTGCTACACGACAAAACTCATGCCTCAAATATATATATATATATATATATATATATATATATATATATATATATATATATATATGCATCATTACTTCTACTGCAAAAACATATGCAGTCATCACTTATCCACGACTTTACTTCTACTGCGAAGACTTAAACACGACATAAAGTGCTACACGACAAAACTTATACCTCAAATTTTATACCCGTCATTCCCTCTTCTGCAAAAACCCATGCAGTCATTGCTTACGCACAGCACCACTTCTGCAAACACCTATACGCTACAAAAGTGCTACAGCAAAGACTTGTGGCCAAGTCTGCTGTGGAAATAATGACTGGTATACGTTTTTGCTGCACATGTTTCGTTGTCTAATGCTGACCTCGCATACGAGTTTTTGACGCATAAATTTTGTTCTGCAGCGCTCACGACGTGCGTATGTCTTTGCAGCGGAAGTTGTGTCGCGTTTAAGTAAAATCAGTTATAAGTTCTTGTAGTAGAAGTAATGTCGCGTTTAAGCAAAATCGGTTATAAGTTCTTGCAGTAGAAGTAATGTCGCGTTAAAGTAAAATCAGTATAAGTTCTTGTAGTAGAAGTAATGCCGCGTATGACTAATGTAGCACTCTTGTCAGTGCGAGTTTCTGCCGTAGCACTAATGTCGTGACACCCTCTTGCACACGGAGTGGCAAAGCAACAGAGCGTAACGCCAACCCATGCTATTTCCCATCGCTGGCGAAGATTGGGGAGAGCAACACACAGACTGAGGTTGAACAGCTTAGTCCGCGTGTATGAGTGGAGGCAATGTCGGATCTCTCACGCGAAGACACACATACGTTAAGGCTCCACTGGTTTTGTGGTTTAGTCGGGTGTCAAATGTTCGAGGCAGTCAGAAGTCCCGCATGCTTTATGGAACGGACGACATCGATGGCTGCCCGTGCCTCACGACTCGCTGCTCGGTGACCGCTGGTGGGAACGTGGGTGTTCTGTGACTGCGGCTGGCTGATGGTGAGACAGTCGTCTGGACCTGAGCCTCGCAGCTCAGTGACCGCTGATGGGAACGTGGGTGTTCTGAGACTGCGGCTGGCTGGTGATGCGGCAGTCGTCTGGACCTGAGCCTCACAGCTCAGTGACCGCTGATGGGAACGTGGGTGTTCTGAAACTGCGGCTGGCTGATGATGCGGCAGTGGTCTAGACATGAGGCTCGCATCTCAGTGACCGTTGATGGGAACGTGGGTGTTTTGTGACTGCGGCTGGCTGATGGTGCGGCAGTGGTCTGGACATCAGGCTCGGCTGGTTGTCCCAACATGTCCTAGCTTACCTACCTTGGATAGGAAAGGATAAAATGTAAGATATCCTCCTTTGAACAGAACAAAGCCAGAAAAAGGGTCAGTTGATGCTTCCAGCGAACATGAAGGGAACCGATTACATTCTGCTCGATCTCAGTGTGACAGCATGGCGCGGTACATAAGGCCCATAAGGCCATAAGGCCCATAAGGCCATAAGGCCCATAAGGCCATAAGGCCCATAAGGCCATAAGGCCCATAAGGCCCATAAGGCCATAAGGCCATAAGGCCCTGGGCTTTTTTAATTGACGGAAGATCGGATGAGAAGCTGATCGTTGTCTGCACGGTGTAGTCTTGGCGACGAGGTCAAGATGCGCGCAGGCCTTACCTAGGAAGCCCCCGGAACCCAAACCCACCAGTGCAAACCAGTTGAAGGACATTTGTAAAACAAACCCAGTTGAACTGATAGCGTTTGCTTTGGCCTTTAAGACAACCAGCGCGAAGTATTTAGAAACGTGGTGCAATACGAGATAGAATGGCCCGCACGTGCCTTTCCAAGCAAAATCGGCGGTTGTTATATAATTCCCTGAGAAGTCACACGCGCACTAGCTCTGGGCGGCGACCTCTTATGTTCGCCACACATACTGGTCTGAGGTCCGAACCCCGGCCAGTGGAGCCACGGGGCGCGGGGTGTCCCTATCGGCTGTCGAGGTCTGGACCCCGGCCAGTAGAGCCACGGGGCGCAGGGTGTCCCTGTCGACTGTCAAGGTCCGGACCTGCCGGCTGTCGAAGTCCGGACCCCAGCCGGTAGAGCCACGGGGCGCAGGGCGTCCCTGTCGGCTGTCAAGGCCCGGACCTGTCGGCTGTCGAAGTCCGGACCTGTCGGCTGTCGAGGTCCGGACCTGTCGGCTGTCGAAGTCCGGACCTGCCGGCTGTCGAGGTCCGGACCTGCCGGCTGCTGAGGTCCGGACCTGTCGGCTGCTGGGGCGATTGTCGTAAAAGCAACAAGGTTTTAAGGTATGGCTATCAGAGTTCAGTGAGCATTTCATCATCATCATCATCTTAATCATCATCATCATCTTGCATTTCCAAAGAAATGTGGTGGACGTCCTTGCCAATCAATGCATACAATGTCTGTATTCATCAATTTAAACAAATCAAGTGAGCGAATAACGAATTGGCCTGCCTGTAGTCACGTACTGATGATACTGAGGAAGATCGTCCATCAACAGAGGAGTGTTCAGCATCGCCGATGGGGTGCTGAGAGTGTCGGCCTCGGTGTGTGACCAGAGACAGGCATGGTGGACTCGACGTTAATCTTTAGGTGGCTTCGATATATCTGCGTAAGAGGTATTGCTTCGACATGAAGATGAAGGCTTTTCTGTGCGCTAATCCTGTCATGATGAAGTAAAGCCACCTATTTGGCTCGCAGCATAACTATTTGCACGCATCACTATTGACTATTTACATACAGCATGACTATTTGGTTCGCAGCTTGACTATTTGCATGCATGACTTTTGACTATTTACATACAGCATGACTATTTACATGCATGACTATTGACTATTTACATACAGCATGACTATTTGGCTGACAGCATGGGATAAGATGAACCATTAGTCCGGGTCTCACTAGCTTCTTGCAAACATGTTTCAAAAGTGCATGCGATGCTGTGTATGGTCTAAAAATATTTAATCTAGTTTTATTTCCCGGTCCCTGACGCTCCATGGTCGTGCTGGTCGTGTCAGCTGCACATACGTGCTGGTCGTGTCAGCTGAACATACGTGCTGGTCGTGCCAGCTGTACATACGTGCTGGTCGTGTCAGCTGTACATACGTGCTGGTCGTGTCAGCTGTACATACGTGCTGGTCGTGTCAGCTGTACATACGTGAGCACGTCTCGACACCCGACAGCTCCTGATAACTCGACAGCTCCTGATAACTCGACAGCTCCTGATAACTCGACAGCTCCTGATAACCCGACGGCTCCTGGCCGTCTCAGGCTCCCTATCGTCTCAGCGTCTGAGGACCGCCTCATGCCTCTGTATTGAATATACCGGCGCCTGATGATTGCTCCGAACACATTCACTGTCCCGCTGTGCAGTGACCGCCATGAACTCCCAGTGTTGGCGTGTGGCGGCCGTCACAGGTTACTGAGCGACGCGGAGACCAGGGACCCGACTTGTGCTTCACTCCGCCCCTGGCAGAATCATTGGGTAATCACATTTCGAGAGGGAATTGACTGATTCCGTCCCTGACCTCAGTAACTGCTGAATACTTCTGAGCGGACCCAGCTTTCGACCCCAGCGTATTTGTTTGATTCCAGCAGTGGTCCTGACACATTTGATTCCGGTGGCAATGGCTCAGAACAGGGGCGTCCGCATGATTTCATTGCTGAGAGGGAGACGGGCAACTCCCAAAGTTTTCGCGGCAAACGGAGTTTGACGCGCTGTGGGCACGCGCAGTTTCCCGCGTGCCGTAAAACAACGCTGCGTGTTCTCAGATCTCGATGTTAAACGGAGTTTGGCGCGCCGCAGGCGCGCGCAATTTCCTGTCTGCCGCAAAGCAACATTGCGTGTTCCCGAGTCTCGACGCGTTTATTTCGCGTGTCCGCCTGGAAGTTATAACCGTCAACGTGTAGTCGCATACAAATCAAGGCGTGCCATACATTTGGTAAC